TCAGTCAAAATGGTAGAAGGCACCATCTTGGCTATACTTTCCCAACATGAAAAAATTGCTCATAATTTATGCCTTATAAAAGGCATACCATACTACACTAGTTTTTAACATTTTTTTTACTCATAAAAATATGATTGTAGTTTCTAACATTTAATACAGAAATTAACACTTCTAGTGATGCTAAAAGAAGTGCATGTGACTGCATGTTTGTTGCAAGGCAAGAAAATAGTGATGACAATTTATTATATAAGGTGGTATGTAGTGAAGACGAAGCATATTCTTTATACAATAATTACACATTACGAATGGGTTTTAGTATTCAAAAAGGAAAACCAAGATATTATAGTGGATCAAAGAACATAAGGCAATGTGAATTTTTGTGTTCTAAAGAGGGTTTTAAAGTAGATGAAGACCCTTGTGAAGAGAAAAAAATTGAATATGCTAGAGACTAGAACTAGCACTACAAAAAATTTGACTTTTTGCGACAGCAAAATGCCGTCGCAAATACTCAAAATGCCGTCTCAAATACTCAAAATGTCGTCTCAAAAATTTTTTTGCGGCAACAGATGGTTTTTAGCAACAGCAAGTGGGGGGTCGCAACAAAAAGGAGTTGCAAAAAAGTTTTAGCGACGGCACGTTGCCGTCATCTTTTTTTTGCGATGGCAAAGTTGCCTTTTTGTGACGGAATTTTGCCGTCGTCATTAATATGAAAAAATCTAAAATTTTTTGAGACGGCAACATATTGCCGCCGCTTAAGATGTTATTTGCGACGACAAAAATACCGTCGCTAAAGAATTTTTATTGCGACAGAGTACCTATCGTCGCTAAAAAAATATTTGAGACGGCAAAGAGTACCGTCGCAAAAGACTTGTCTCAACTCTGCCAATATCATTTGCGACGGCAATGTGGTGGTCTCAAAAAAAATAAATAAATAAAATCTACAATAAAATTATTAAAAATATAAAAATTACCTGTATTAAATGAAAAATAATTGAAAAAGAAACCAATAATTACATATTAATATAAAAATTTCAATATAAAAATAACAATTCATCCATAATAAAAATATTCTTGCATTCATTCATTACAACACATTAACAAAATTATCTCACTACATAATATTGCATAATGCATATACAATGTTTAAATACATAATGTTGTTCACAATTCAAAATAACGTAAATCAAAAACAAAAATTTCCCTCATGATTCTTCCGCGAGTAACAAAAACAAAAGTAAATCGCAATCTTCACAAGCCTGTATTCCACAAGAAGCAAACAGCTACTCGGGAAATATCTGAAAACAAAAAACAAAAATAATTAATGACAATATAATTATGTGTTAATATTTTAATTACAAAAAAAAAAACATAAAAAATTAACTACTATATAATTACAAAGATAATTAAATAAATAATTTTGGCTAGACGAAAATCCAGCTCTAACTCCCAAACCGAGAACCCGATTGGAGTCCCGCCTTCTCCCACAAGTCTCTCGTGCCTAGGCAGTCATGTGTGCCAAGTTTCGTACTAAACCGGCACCATTTGAAGATTTTGAGGCGTCAACACCTCCAATTCAAATTTCTTAATAAACTAGTTTGCCTAGACCGAAATTCAGCTCTAACTCCCAAACCGAGAACTCAATTGGAGTCCTGTCTTCTCTCACAAGTCTCTCGTGCCTAGGCGGTCGTGTGTGCCAAGTTTCATGCTAAACCGACGCCGTTTGGAGATTTTGGGACGTCAACACCTCCAATTCAAATTTCTTAATAAACTAGTTTGCCTAGACCGAAATCTGACTCTAACTCCCAAACCGGAAACCCGATTGGAGTCCCGTCTTCTCCCACAAGTCTCTCGTGCCTAGGCGGTCGTGTGTGCCAAGTTTCGTGCTAATCCGACGCCGTTTGGAGATTTTGGGGCGTCAATAGCTCCAATTCAAATTTCTTAATGAACTAGTTTGCCTAGAGTGATATCCGACTCAACTCCCAAACTGGGAACCCAATTGGAGTCCCGTCTTTTCCCACAAGTCTCTTGTGCCTAGACGGTCATGTGTGCCAAGTTTCGTGCTAAACCGACGCCGTTTGGTGATTTTGGAGCGTCAACACCTCGAATTCAAGTTTCTTAAGGAACTAGTTTGCCTAGAGTGAAATCCGGCTCTAACTACCAAACTGGGAACCCGATTGGAGTCCCGTCTTCTCCCACAAGTCTTTCGTGCCTAGACGGTCGTGTGTGCCAAGTTTCGTGCTAAACCGACATCGTTTGGTGATTTGGGGCGTCAACACCTCGAATTCAAGTTTCTTAAAGAACTAGTTTGCCTAGAGTGAAATCCGGCTCTAACTCCCAAACCGGGAACCCGATTGGAGTCCCGCATTCTCCCACAAATCTCTCGTGCCTAGACGGTCGTGTGTGCCAAGTTTCGTACTAAACCGACGCCGTTTGGTAATTTTGAAGCATCAACACCTCGAATTCAAGTTTCTTAAGGAACTAGTTTGCCTAGAGTAAAATCCGGCTCTAACTCCCAAACCGAGAGCCCGATTGGAGTTCCGTCTTCTCCCACAAGTCTCTCGTGCCTAGCTGGTCGCGTGTGCCAAGTTTCATGCTAAACCGATGTCATTTGGTGATTTTGGGGCGTCAACACCTCGAATTCAAATTTCTTAAGGAACTAGTTTGTCTAGGGGGAAATGCTGCTCTAACTCCCAAACCGAGACCCTAGTTGGAGTCCTATCTTCTCCCACATGTCTCTCATGTCTAAGCGGTCGTGTGTGCCAAATTTCGTGCGAAACCGATGCCGTTTGGTGATTTTGGGGCGTCAACACCTCGGATTCAAATTTTATAATTACAAAGATAATTAAGTAAATATATTGGCTAGACGGAAATCCGACTCTAACTCTCAAACCGGGAACCCGATTGGAGTCATGTCTTCTCCCACAAGTCTCTCGTGCCTAGGTAGTCGTGTGTGCTAAGTTTCGTGCTAAACCGACGCCGTTTGGAGATTTTGGGACGTCAACACCTCCAATTCAAATTTCTTAATAAACTAGTTTGCCTACACCGAAATCTGACTCTAACTCCCAAACCGGAAACCCGATTGGAGTCCCGTCTTCTCCCACAAGTCACTCGTGCCTAGGCGGTCGTGTGTGCCAAGTTTCGTGCTAATCTGACGCCGTTTGGAGATTTTGGGGCGTCAATAGCTCCAATTCAAATTTCTTAATGAACTAGTTTGCCTAGAATGATATCCGACTCAACTCCCAAACTGGGAATCCAATTGGAGTCCCGTCTTTTCCCACAAGTCTCTTGTGCCTAGACGGTCATGTGTGCCAAGTTTCGTGCTAAACCGACGCCGTTTGGTGATTTTGGGGCGTCAACACCTCAAATTCAAGTTTCTTAAGGAACTAGTTTGCCTAGAGTGAAATCCGGCTCTAACTACCAAACTGGGAACCCGATTGGAGTCTCGTCTTCTCCCACAAGTCTTTCGTGCCTAGACGGTCGTGTGTGCCAAGTTTCGTGCTAAACCGACGTCGTTTGGTGATTTTGGGGAGTCAACACCTCGAATTCAAGTTTCTTAAGGAACTAGTTTGCCTAGAGTGAAATCCGGCTCTAACTCCCAAACCGGGAACCCGATTGGAGTCCCGCATTCTCCCACAAGTCTCTCGTGCCTAGACGGTCGTGTGTGCCAAGTTTCGTACTAAACCGACGCCGTTTGGTAATTTTGAAGCATCAACACCTCGAATTCAAGTTTCTTAAGGAATTAGTTTGCCTAGAGTGAAATCCGGCTTTAACTCCCAAACCGGGAACCCGATTGGAGTTCCGACTTCTCCCACAAGTTTCTCATGCCTAGGCGGTCATGTGTGCCAAGTTTCGTGCTAAACCGACTCCGTTTGGTGATTTTGAAGTGTCAACACCTCGAATTCAAGTTTCTTAAGGAACTAGTTTGCCTAGAGTAAAATCCGGCTCTAACTCCCAAACCGAGAGCCCGATTGGAGTTCCGTCTTCTCCCACAAGTCTCTCGTGCCTAGCTGGTCGCGTGTGCCAAGTTTCATGCTAAACCGATGTCATTTGGTGATTTTGGGGCGTCAACACCTCGAATTCAAATTTCTTAAGGAACTAGTTTGCCTAGAGTGAAATCCGGCTCTAACTCCCAAACCTAAAACCCGATTCGAGTCTCGTCTTCTCCCACAAGTCTCTCGTTCCTAGGCGGTCGTGTGTGCCAAGTTTCGTGCTTATTCGACCCCGTTTGGTGATTTTAGAACGTCAACACCTCGAATTGAAGTTTTTTAATAAACTAGTTTGCCTAAAGTGATATCCGACTCTAACTCCCAAACTGAGAACCCGATTGGAGTCCCGTCTTCTCCCACAAGTCTCTCGTGCTTAGATGGTCGTGTGCCAAGTTTCGTGCTAAACCAACGCCGTTTGGTGATTTTGAGGCGTCAACACCTCCAATTCAAGTTTCTTAAGAAACTAGTTTGCCTATAGTGAAATCCGGCTTTAACTCCCAAATCGAAAACCTGATTGGAGTCCCGTCTTCTCCCACAAGTTTCTCGTCCCTAGACGGTCGTGTGTGCCAAGTTTCGTGCTAAACCAACGCCGTTTAGTGATTTTGGGGCGTCAACACCTCCACTTCAAATTTCTTAAGGAACTAGTTTGCCTAGACCAAAATCCGGCTCTAACTCTCAAACCGGGAACCCGATTGGAGTCTCATCTTCTCCCACAAGTCTCTCATGCCTAGGCGGTCGTGTGTGCCAAGTTTCGTGCTAAACCGACGCCATTTGGTGATTTTAGAGCGTCAACACCTCGAATTTAAGTTTCTTAAGAAACTAATTTGCCTAGAGTGAAATCCGGTTCTAACTCCCAAACTGAGAACCCGATTCGAGTCTTGTCTTCTCCACAAGTTTCTCGTGCCTAGGCAGTCGTGTGTGCCACGTTTCGTGCCAAACCGATGCCGTTTGGTGATTTTGGGGCGTCAACACCTCGAATTCAAGTTTCTTAAGGAACTAGTTTGCCTAGAGTGAAATCCGGCTCTAACTCCCAAATCGGGAACCCGGTTGGAGTCCCGTCTTCTCCCACAAGTCTCTCGTGTCTAGGCGGTCATGTGTGCTAAGTTTCATACCAAACCGACGCTGTTTGGTAGTTTTAGGGCGTTAAACACCTCGAATTCTAAGTTTCTTAAGAAACTAATTTTCTTAAGAAACTAATTTGCCTAGAGTGAAATACGGCCCTAACTTCCAAACTGTGAACCCGATTCGAATCTCGTCTTCTCCCATAAGTCACTCGTGCCTAGGCGGTCGTGTGTGCCAAGTTTCGTACTAACAATGGAAAATCCTTTGTCTTTTTTCTAATTATGGAATTAGCCTCTATCATATTAGGCTGTGTACACTTAATGTACAGTTATTATTAGCTTAGAATGCAAAGATACATTTTATACTTGATCTTCTGGTGGTGGTATATATGGAGTCTCATCTCCTGCAACTGTTGGGACATGCATTCCACGTCTCATACGTGAAGCCCAAAAAATATATTAGCAGTAGGATAGAGGAAACCATTGATCTCTAGTCTTAATATATGACAAACCGAAAAAATGAAAATATTTTCACCTTTTTCCCTCAAATTAAGACTTCAATTTCAGGACGGAAACTAGCAAAGGTAGCCAATTAATGACTATTACTTATCTATTAGGATGCATTTCAATTCTTTTTTTTCACTATTTACTTCAAAGTCTATTTGTCTTGACTCTTGACTACAGTCAAGAAACAAAATGTCAAAACCTTAGCTAAGAAAGGTGGGCCTGAATTACTTTTAAAACCAGTGTGTGCATACAAGCACATAGATGGTTTAACTTCAGTCTTGATCACCTGAAATATGAAGTGTGATTGATCTGTCATAACAGGTTTGGGTTTCTATGGATTAACATGAAAAGATGGCTTACTTGGAGTGACACGAGAATATTTGAAACAGCTTGTCCGTAAGTGTCGTGGAAATGAACAGCGAGCTTCTCCAAAGGTACAACATCAATAACAACTTCAAGCCTTGGAATAGCAGTGCCTAGGCAAAAAGAAAGGGGGGTAAATAAATAGAAATAAGTGAAAGAGGGAAAAAAAAACAATATGTACAATTCAGGAAATGATTGAAGGATTTATTAAACACAAGATTTAGTTAATATACATATTTTATTTCAATTCTATAATTAATCTTATCATCCTTTACAAGGGAGAAAAGTAAACAAACATGCACATTATTTGTTCAAATATACTGTTCCCAAATCCCATGGGAGCATCAATTTACACATGTTTTTCTCAGTTCACACCCTCCTTTCATCGGATATCAACTACCGAAGAAAAAGGGGTTCAATTATCAATTACCAAACAAAAACCCATGGTTCGGCTATACCTTTGGTTTGGTAATTGATATCACAGTACATAAGAAAATCCACCAACAAAATAAAAACTTATTTCAATCCTAATTTCCATATTAGGGGGAGCCAAAAAAACAAGAAGAGGAAAGCAACAGTTGCCTCTCTATAAAATAAACAGTTTAATTAGTCAAATAAATGGAAAGCAAAGAGCAAAACAAAACATAAGAAAACCCACCAACATAAATATATATATATATATATATATGCATACAAATTGACAACATGTACATTTTCTTAAACATAAATAAGAAACCCCCAAAAATATTTTCTTAAATACCTGCTTGTCTGTGTATTGACATGTTATTTCTGCTTTCTCCTGAGGAAACAAAACCGTGATATTCATCAATAGAGACTCTTATAAACTTGCCTGCATGCTGACAATAAAAGAATATTGGCTTGGCTAGACTGACCTTCCATTCCAATTTTTTCGCATTGAGCAAAGCATTTTTGGATCCAAGTTCATGTTGTAGAACTTTCAGCTGAAACAGATTAAAACTCTCTAGCAAGTTAGCAGAAGCTATACAACATAGCAAGAACCAGAAGTTAAACTTCATGTAAACACTAGTAAGAACCTACTCTATCTTTTTCTGAGTGAAGTTCCTGCAAAGTCAAAGGAACAGTAGAATGTATGTCACCAAGATTTCAAATGTCAAAAAAAATTATATGCAATTTACTTTTTTTTAAAAAAAGGTCATTGATTTTTCAAGTATGAGCGAGAAGAACAGACCGTTAGCATCTGGCTATTTGATTGAGCAAGCTGCAAATTCTGTTGCCGCATTTTCTAGAAGTTGATTCTCAGTTTCTGCAACTCAATTCCACTAAATTCAATGATTTTACTGTTAACCAGATTAAGGGAAACCTGTAACAATAAAATTCTGAAAAAAGACACCAATGGAACTACCAATCTAGGGATAAAGCATATTAATCTGCCTCACAACCAAATCAACCAAATTGATCCAAAAAAGGATACTTTTTATCCACTAAAAGCTTGATTAGTGTCATATTTTCCTAAATGAAAGTTTCAGATAATACCAATGTTAAAAGATGAACAATAAAAAAGTTTGAAAAACAAAAATTCCGAACCTAGAAGAATTGTACCTTTTTGAGGTGTTCAATATAGTCTTTAGTGGTATTTGAAACAAACAGCTCCTTCTCATCTTTGGTAGATGGTTTAGGTCGCTGTGGTAAGTTGCTTATGTCACCAAGCCTCTTCCTTGCCACACTTTCAAAAGAGCCCTTTGTTTTTTTCTCTATTTCAGGATTGTCTGATACCAATACAAACACCATAATGTATAACAGAGATACAAAGTTAAAACATAAATTTTGAGATTGAATTATCTGTTTCTACGAAACAATGCCATCTTATAAATATATATGTTTGGACTTGTTGCACAACCCAAGTCCGCTGCATTAAGAGCTTGAAGAAGGTGGAAATCTTTGGAGAAGAGAGTTTCAACTGCATTTTCTAGCACTGGCATTGTCATTGAGGCCACTTTTTGCTGCAAGAGAGAACAACTTTTAAGTTTGTTCCCGAAAAAGTTATATAATCCGAGCAAATATCACTAAAGTATTAAAGTGTATAGTGTAGATTTAAACTTGTATGATTATGATAAATTTAAAATAAATTTGGTTAACACATTTTGTTATTTAAGGATTTTTTTTGGTGTGTAATAGTGTTGTTACTTATCAAACTAAAGATTCGCCCTTTTTTTTAAAAAAAAAAAATTGTAAATGTTGGGCATACCATGAATCAATTTATATCAGTGACTTATCGTATCATGCTATTATCAATGACTTGTTACGTCATTTTATCTTAATGAAACAATTTTTAACTATCAACAACTCATATCAAGTCGTCAAGTTATTTTTATTGTCAGTGACTTGTCAAGTTGTCCTATTAGTAACATGGCTACAGTTCCTATTGTAGTTAAAATTAAAGGAATAGAGTTTGATCCACAATTATTTAGTGAGTGGAAAAAAAAAAGGCACAACCCAACAATCCAATAAAACTTCAAAACTGTTATTTCATTAACAAAAACTATAACTTGGATACAAATTGCAAGGCATAACAATAGTTGAGTTAGCAGAAATTTTCAAAGAAGGGAGAATTGGACATACCATGAACATGAAGAGTAATGCTACTACACAAATATACAAACATTTTCCTACTGTGAAAGAAGAGTTTTGTGCATAACTACTTTACTTTATTCAAGAGTAATGCTACTATACAAATACACAAATCTGAATTGAGACTAGCATTTATTTATATTAAAAATATATATATAATGGCAATTCCATAGAAGAGAGAAGATATATAGAATAGAACCTCTTCAACTGCCTTCTATCTAAGGCATTCTAATCCCAATTTTCGATCCTTATCTGCACAACCAAATCAACATTGTACCTATGTTAAGCAGATTATTAGAGATGGCTAATTGAAAACCCTAGGAGAAGATTCAAGATTGCAAACCCTAGTAGAAGAATCGATGGGAAGGAAGACAATATGAAACTGAGATTGTAGACGGCGGTGCTCACCTTAGTAGACGATGGCGCTCACTCTCGCTGGTGGAGACGGTGGTGACGGTGGAGCTTCGAAATCGAGAGAGACAGAACTTCGAAATTGAGAGAGAACTTCGAAATCAAAATCGAAATTGCTCTGAAATGAATCTCTCGCCCTCTCTGAGATGAATCGAAATCACTGAGGCGACGAGAGAGAGGGCGGTGAGGGAGGAGGGGTGGCGGCGGCAGTGGTGGTCGCCGGTGGCAGCAACAGAGGCGACGACGTTGGCGGAAGAGATAAAAGAGAGAGAGAGAGAGAGAGAGAGAGAGAGAAGGAGAGCTAGGTTAGGGATTGGGGAGATCGTGAGAAAAAAAGGGGGGAATTGAGATAAAATTGCGGGACAACGAAAAGAGTTTTTTTTTTTTTTTTTTTTTTTTTTTTTTTTTTTTTGTAGTTAATGAATTTAATTTTTTTTCTATTTTTCACTTTTTTTAGTTAATGATTTTTTTTTATTTTGCATTTTTTTTAGTTAATGAATTTTTTTTTCATTTTTTATTTTTTTTAGATTTTTCATTTTTCATTAAAAATTTCTTTGTTTCATTTTTTATTTTAATGAAAAAATTATTTTTTTTTTTATTTGGTAGAAGTAAAGGTAATATTTTAATGAAAAAATATTTTCTACTAAAATAAAGTTAATTTTTTGTGGTCAATGATTTCTTTTTTTTGCGGCCTATTTTTTTTTGTTACTATAAATCAGGAACTAATTTTTTGTGGTAGAGGAGAGAGAGCGACAATAGTAGTAAAGGTAGTGGGGGTGGTGATGGCGAAGGAGATCAGTGGTGAGGTTGTAGTAGTGGTAGAGGAGATGGAGTGGCGGTGGTGGAGGAGAGGTAATGGTAGTAGTAATGCCAGTAGTAGTGGTGGTGGTGGACAAGAGGTGATAGTAGTGGTGGTGGTGATGGCGAAGGAGATCAGTGGTAAAGTTGTGGTAGTAATAGAGGAGATAAAGTAGCGGTGGTGGAGGAGAGGTAATGGTAGTAGTGGTGGTGGTAGTGAAGTGATGGCGATGGTGGTAGTAATGATAATCGTAAAGGTGGAGTGGCAACAATGGTAGTAGTGGTGGTAGTGAAATGGCATTTGTGGTATGAGAGAGACGAGTGAGAGACAGATAGAGAAGAGAGATAAAGAAATAGAAAGACAGAGATAGAGGGATAAGCGAGAGAGAGACAAAGTGGCCACTAAAAGTGCATTTTCTTATAGTGTCTTAATAAATCGGGAGGGAGCTTGGTAAATAGAGAAAAGGGAAGGAAGGGAGTGAGAAAGGCGAACACAATGAGGGAGAGACAGACAGACAGACAAATAGATAGGCAAACAAAGAGAGAAAGAGAGAGACAAGAGTGATGAGTAAGAGACAGAGACAGAGAGAGAAAGAAACAAAGAGAGACAAAAAAAGAGAGAGAAACAAGAGATGAGCGAGATATAGACAAAAAGAGAGAGAAAGATAGCAAAAAGAGATGAACGATAGAGAGACATAGAAAAAGAGAGAGAAGAGAGATGAGCGAGAAGAGAGAAAAGAGAAATGAGTGAGAGAGACAGAGAGATAAAGATAAAAAGATGAGAGAGATAGAGAGAAAAGAGATGAGCGAGAGAGAGAGATAGAGAGAAGAGAGATAAGCGAAAAAGACAGAGAGAGAAGACAGAGAAGAGAGATAGAGAGAAGAGAGATAAGCGAAGAGAGAGAGAGAGAGAAATAGACAGACAAACAGAGAGAGAAGAGAGAAGAGTGATAAGTGAGAGAGAGAAAGAGAAGAGAAAGGAAGATGAAAAAATGGGTGAAAAGAGATAGACAAAAAGAGATAGACAAAGAGAGATAGAAAAAGAACGAAAAGAGATAAACAAGAGAGAGACAGAGAGAGATGAGTGAGAGAGCGAGAGAGATAAATAGAAGAGAGACAGAAAGAGAAGAGAGATGAGAAAGACAAAGAGAAGAGAAATGGGCGAGAGATAGAGAGAAAGAGAGAGACAGACAGACAGACAAACAGACAGAGAAGAGTGATGAGTGAGAGAGAGAAAGAGAAGAGAGACAGAGACATAGTAAAAGAGAGAGAGGGAGAGAGAGAAAGAGAGAGACAGATAGAGAAGAGTGATGAGCGAGAGAGAGAAAGAGAAAGAGAAGAGAGACAGAGATATAGACAGAGAGATAGGAAGATGAAAAAATAGGTGAAAAGAGAAATGTTCAAAAGAGTAAGACAACGTCGTTTTTATTTTATTATTATTTTTTTGGTGACAGAAAAATACTGTTGCATTTATTTTAACCATTTTGTGATTATATATATATATATATGAAGCCATCTCAAAGCCACAATATATATATATATATATTTACTTCTTTTTTTTTTGTGCAACGGTAACTAACTCTTTTTTTTTTTTTGCGACTGCAGTTGGTGCCATCGCAAAAACTCTATTTTTTTGCGACAGCAATCTTTACCGTCACAAATACTCTATTTTTTTACGACAGCAATTTCTACCATCGCAAATGCTCTCATTTTTTGCCACAACATTTTATGCCGTCGCAAATACTCTATTTTTTGCGACGGCAAGTTGTGCCATCTCAAAAAGTCACATTTTTTGCGACGGCAAGTTGTGCTGTCGCAAAAAGTCATTTTTTGCGATGGCAAATGTGCCGTCGCAAAAAAGTTCCGTCTTTTAAGCCCCCTTTTCTTGTAGTGTAGTTACAAAGCATTTATTCGTTTCACTATTGAAGATGGAATTTGAAGGGTTATTGCCTTCAATCATAAACGTAATCATGAACTTGCATTACAATTAGAGTGACATTTGCTAAGATCTACTCGTCACATTTCAAAACTGAAGGCAGGTGTGATTCTATGGTAAATGCAAGTATAAGCACAAAGAATGTTTATTCATATCTAACAAAAGAAGTTGGAGGCAGTGAGAATGTGAGTTTTACTAAAAAGGATTGTTATAATTATGTGAAAAGCAAAAGATGACGATGATTAGTGCTAGAGATACTCAAAGCCTATTGAATCATTTTAAGCAAAAACAGACAGAAGACCTCATGTTCTTTTTCACATTTCAAGTAGATCAAGAAAATCTCATGACTAATTTTTTTCTAGAGGGAGATCAAGGGTTGATTATGATTGTTTTGGAGATGTGGTTATTTTCGATACCACATATTGCACCAATAAGTATAATTTGATTTGTGCTCTATTTGTTGGTGTTAACCACCATTGGCAAAATGTGATATTTGATTGTGCTTTCCTTTTGGATGAAACCATTGATTCATTTATATGGTTGTTTAAATCATTTTTAGAATCAATGGGGAATCGGTCTTCAATTACAATTTTTACTAACCAAGATCAAGCCATGTCTAATGCTATTGAGGTGGTATTTCCAAATACACATCATCGACTATGTTTGTAGCATATTTCGAAAAATGCTCCTCATTTGGGGGCGTTAAATACTAGTACAGAGTTCAAGTACCTTTTCAACAAAGTGCCAAAAATATTGTGATTCTGCACTAGAATTTCAACAGACTTGGGATAAAATGGTACAAAAGTTTAGTTTGAAGAGTCGTCGATGGCTTAATATGATGTACAAGATTCGACATAAGTGAAGCACTACATTCACTAAGGATAATTTCACCGATGAATTTAAAGTTTCTTCAAGGGGTGAAAGTACAAATAATGTTTTGAATAACATTGCAGGTAAAACAACTAGCATCACTAAGTTTGTTATTGAATATGACAATTTAGTGGCAGGTATGCATTCTTCAGAATTGGATGAAGATTTTCGATGCAAGCAAGGTGCCCTACAAAAAGTAGTAAAAAAAAGTGGTATTTTGGGTCATGTAGCTCAAGTTTACACCTGTAAGATATTTAAATTATTTGAAAATGAATTGCTCAATAGTCTTGCAATGGTGTGGTAGCAAGTTGATTGTCAAGATACAATTGATGTCTTCGAGTTGAAAGAAGAAAATAGTGAAAGGGTACGTATTGTTCACTTTGATCATCTCACTAACAACATTTCTTATTCTTGTAAGAAGTTTGAATCATTAGAAGTTCTTTGCTATCATGCATTGAGGGTTTTTAGTATAAAAAATTTGGCTGCAATTCCAAGTCAATACATTTTGAAATGTTGGACAAAAGATGCTAAGAAATGAATGATGGCTTATGAACATGGTACCAATTCCATTGCGAATGGTAAAGAGGCTGAGATCATATGGCGTAATAGTATAATATGTATAGCTAATACAACTATATATAAGAGTCAAGGAAATAATAGCCTTAAGAAAATTTGCCAAAAGATACTTGTACAACTTGATGAAAAAATTGAAAGAGAGTTTGCAAGGTTGAAATTGGGTACAGTTGTGCATGTTGAAGAAGATCAAGTCATAGAATGTGATACCACTAACATGTCAGTGTTTTATCCCTCACATGCGAGATCGAAAGGTGTACAAAACACTAGACTTAAAGGGCATTTTGAAAAGTGCAAGACAAAATCGTCGAATGATGCATCAACTTCGTGTGAGAAACATTTTTTTTTTTTTTTTGGATTCAATCATGAGAAACTATTTACTTGCTCAATAAATGCTACATTCTCATCCGTGATAATATTTTTTTAAAGAAGTTCTTATGTTGTAAGTTATTTGTGATTTATACACATACTCAGGAAAATCAAAACAAGTAAAGCAAGGACCATCACATGCCTCACTTGGAATCACATATGATACAACAATCTTCCAACCACCAAATGGGTCCCCTTATGTAAGACCAGCAGATGCCAAAATAGATAGTTAATCTTACCCACCATGGACCGTGCAAGCTCAGGTATTGAATATTTATATTGATTCACAAAATTAAAATATCTACTATTTATACTTAAAATTATGGTCATAATAAATTTTAAGTATGAACTATTCCTATGTGAGGATATGGACTTTGCAAATATTCCATTTACAACTATGTTACAGAGTGTCAATGTTATAAACCAATTTAGTCAGGTAAATATTGACACAATTCATTTATTTATTTGAATGCCTTTATTTGTTAATATTATGATTTACATTTATTGTTCTCTTAACAAAGGCTTAATTTGTATAATGTTTTTAATATGTTGTTTAAAAAAATGCTAGTCACAAAGAGAAGCTACAAAAGTAAGATGGGAGCTGTGCATAAGGGGTTGAGAGACTTACACAAAGCAATACTTTGAAGGTGGCTAGTGCTCAAAGAATGATATTTTGGAAGTTTAATCAAATGCAAAGAAAGAATTTCAAACAATGTTTTTAGGGAAAGGCAAAATTTTAATTGAAGTGGTGTTTTTTTTTTTTTTCCCCCTGCATTTATGTAATGA